CCCCCCCCCAAAGTTCAAGGTACTAAACTGGAATTTTCCCTAATTAATAATTCATATTAGTAGCTTGTTCTTCAATACAATGTGGTGTGGTCACATGGGTAGGGATGACAATTTTCCCCATCCCGATCCTATACGACTTCCAAACCACATCGAGTCCAGATCACCTCCCAACAAAATACCTTCCAACACTCTACTAACAACATCTGACTCCTCACATCTGATACATGGCAGGTCCCACTTTTACATTGGGCCCTGGTTTATAACGGGATGTGTGGTGTTAGATGTTGTTGGTACAGTGTTGGAAGGTATTTTGTTGACAGGTGATCCCAAGTTGATCCTGTCGAGTCAGGGATGTGGATTGCTTTGGTGGGGCGAGGACAATAAGGATTAATAGGTATCTCAGATCGGGGTAGGGTGGGGATGGGAAATGAAGTCTTCGCTTGTTCCAATTCCAACAAAATAAATTTAAAATATTATTTATATTTTAAAATTTTATTTTATTTTAAATGTTGGTACCTTTTCTTGGTTTTTGTGTGATTTAAATTAATTGCCTTTGTTGTTGCTTTTTGACCTTTTGTCTTTTTTGTCTTGTTTGCTTTTGGAGTGGCTTGAGTCCTACATGGACTAGGAGAAGCACTCTTCTTAGGTTTATCTTATACCGTTTTTTTTTTTTTTTTGGTTTGTATTTGGGGCATGTGGAGAGAGTGCACCTAGACCACTACATGCATGCACGCACTCAGATAGGTCCAGGGCCCTTGCCCTATCTTTGTTTATTTTCTTTTTGATTTTCCTTTAAAGTTTTAATGTTTTAACCAAGAATCCATTTCCGAACGTTCTCTTTGTAACTGCCCACTCTCCTATTGCGTGGGAGAACTCCCAAAGTTGGTGGGAAGTTGTTAAGAGATGTTTTTGTCCTAGGTTTTCTTAATAGCCAAGACATCTACATTTATATAGCAGTGAACTTTGGCCTTTCTACTATGAGTTCTTGCTCTCTTCTCATGGATGCAACTTTTGCTCTCCCCCACTATGTTTTTCCTCCTTCACTGGTTGAATCATTTTGGGTGCACATAATATTATGGTTTTGTTGCTTTGTGAGTGCACATAACGCCAAGGCTGAGAGTTGTTGTATCCCGGAGGTCGACCACCTGTAAATAATTAATTTAACCATGTTTTTTGTTTTTAGTTGGTTTATTTGGCATGTAATATAGATTAAGAGTTGTTTTAGGAGGAATTTTAGGTGGGAGAGATAGTTTAGGAGAAATTTTAGGAAGGGGTTGGCTAGTGTTTGGGAACATGAGAGAGAGAGAGAGAGAGTAGTGGGACTCTAATGAAGAAGAGAAGGCTACCACGTAACTACATGGAAGGGCTAGGTTTTATGCAAGTTTCCATTTATGGATTGGGAGAGATTATAGGAAAAGATGAGAGAGAGAATTATAGGAAAAGGTTTAATAAGTTAATGGGTTTTCTTCCTAAAATAAAGTTAGTGGGTTTTCTTCCTAAATTAATGGGGCAAAAAAGGGAAGATTACTGGCAACTCCATGGGCTTCTAGAAGGAATCTTGCACCCCTCTAGAATTGCTCAGGGTAATGGGGCAAAGAGAGGGCATTTGACTTGGAAAGCTCTACTTTAGTATATACTAGTGGGCGTCGTGCGATGCACGGAATGGGGCATTTCTCCTTGTCCCCTCGCTCTCATAGTCAAGACACTCTACACCATCCCTGCATTAGGGTGGGTTCAAGGCGAGGCACCCATTCCCTATTGGGGATGGGGAATCCCCAAATTTTTCCAACTCGAGGCAACCACCTAAAACAATCTAATTTGTAGATATTTTACAAATAGGATTATGAGAATTTGGTGGTATTTTAGGAATTGAATTATGACAATTTAGGGATATTTTATAAATGGAAATGTGGGACCCTAGAATTATAAGAATATGAGGAAAACATAGAAATATTTTAAAAATCAATATTAAATCTAGAATTATGTGCAAAATCCATCCCTTCCCCATCCCTGATTTAGAGCAAAAATATTTTCCCCGTCCCCACTCTATCTCTTCACAATCCCTATCTAAAATTCAAGAAAACTTATCCCATTCAAGGTGGGGCAAGGTAGGGCCCTAATTTTATAGGGAAACTTGCCATCTCTATAATTCTACCAATTTTCTATAACTAATTAAATAACAATAAATTATAATATTTTATGATAATTTCCAAAAATCATTGAAATTGTTGTTGATTAGAAAAAAAAATGTACAGTAAATTAGTTATTTACAATAACAATAAATGAATGAGTTAATGTAGATTATTAACTTTTTAAGCCAAAATTATTTACTACATTAGTTTTAATTAAAAATAAATCATTTGTTGTTAATTGATGTAAAGCCAAGAGTGGCTGATCTAAATCGGTGTGAATAGATTTAATAATTTTCCTAAATTATTTCATAATTATTTATTAAAATAATAATGAATTGTTAATAAATAAAAGAAAATTCCCCATAGGTAACCTGTAATTTGGGTGGAGTGCCGATTTAATACTTTAAAATGCAACAATCTAGTAACTGTTCATTTCGTGACAATGTAGCACCTATCCTTAATGAACGTCAGTATGTATATCACATGACCTCCCTCATGTGCAATTTAAAATTTTTGAAAATGTCAAAATTACCCTTACAAAATACATCGGTCATGAGACTATAACTTTAAAATACACTGTTCGCCGTTGTCGCC